TTGTAGTTTCTCTTCTAGTGCCCATCTTTACTATAGTGGAAATACTGGCCTTTGTCATTTGTTGGGTCTTTCTTAGCAATCTTTGTTTTACCTAGTCTACCATTGCCCTTCTTAAGGGACTTTTCTGCTTTCCTTTTCTTTCTGGTCTCACTAGTGTAGAAAATAGGCTTCTCTTTCTTGATAGTGCTCTCTGCCTCCCTCAACATATTAAGGAGCTCAAGGAGAGTCACCTCAAGCTTGTTCATATTAAAATTCATTATGAACTATAAAAAGAAATATGGTAGGGATTGAAGCACAAGATCTACACACAGGTTATCCTCTAGGACCATTCCTAAGTTTGTGAGTTTCTCTATCTACTCAATCATCTTTAGGACATGGTTCTGAACCGGTGTCCCCTAAGTCATTCTAGCACGGAAGAGACTCTTGGATATCTCATATCGCTGAGTCATTTCCTGTTCCTCAAACAGTTTACGAACATGTAGGAGAATGAATTTGGCATCCATCTTTTCATGTTGTCTTTGTAACTTAGGAGTCATGGAGCCTAATATGTAACACTAAGCAAGAGTGGAGTCATCTATGTACTTCACATAGCAAGCAATCTCATCCTCGCTTGCCCCTTCCTCGGGCGTAGGTATCACTATATTAAGGACGTACGCGATTTTCTCCATCGTGAGAACAATTCTCAAGTTGCGGAGCCAATTCGTATAATTCGGACCAATGAAGCGGTTGACATCAAGTATGCCACGTAAGAGATTTGAAAGCGATATTTTCTGAAAATAAAGATACAACAAATATAAATAACATACAGATTTTGTAAAAATAAACAAATAAGATATGGACTTCTATCTTAATGTGCTCCCACTATTTTACTAGCGAGTCACGTGACACCCTCAGCACGTGAAACGAAAGTCTCCGATAGACTTCTAGTGGGGATTGGGATCCAATTAACGTCTTAGTGTAACCTCGAGAGACTCGACCAATCACACTAAGCCCAAAAGGTAGGCAACTCTTGCCGATCATAACTCCTTATGATTCCCGTCCTATTCAACCTCCAAACCATCATAGTCTCGAGGGACTCGACTAATTATGATGTTCGGTTAAGTCAACACTATCGTTACAAGATGAGTCATGATAATATGATATACCCTCAAGGGA